CGGCTTGATCGATGGGCAGAGTATTTTAGTGAACAGTTCAAATGGCCTAGTGCTAATGTGGTCATTCCAGCAATTGCGGCGGAAACTCTATGGGTGGTAACATGCGAGCCCCCATCAGAATGGGAAGTACTAAGCTGCATTCAATCATTAAAGAAAAGAGGCTGCTGGATCTGATAGACTCCTCCCTATTCTTTTCAAGGTGGGCGGAGATACTCTTGTCGACTGAATTACTAGCTTACTTCGCAGCATTTGGACGGAGGAGCGCATCCCTTTGTCCTGGGGTGAATCGATGATCGTCCATATTTTCAAGAAGGGATCACGTGACGACTGCCCTAATCACCGTGGGATTAGTTTGGTTCCGATAATTACAAAAGTGTTGACTTCTGTGATACTTCGCCGCCTAACAACTTTAAGGGAGAGGAATATCCGCAAACAACAAGCCGGATTCCGAACAGGTCACGGATGAGTTGACCAAATCTTCACTGTGGTTCATGTGCTCGAACTGCGTCACACATCGTCGGCCAACAATCGCATTGTTCCTTGACCTAAAAGGAGCCTTCGATTCAGTTGACCGTGAAGCTCTTCTGGGGTCGCTGGTCCGCAAAGGAATGCCGCAAAAGTACGTAAACCTATTGCGGTCGTTGTATCTGCATACTTCTGGTAGCGTAAGGGTATACGGTGGGGTAAGTAAATCGTTCGAAACCAGGGGCAGTGTCCTTCAAGGTTGCCCTATTCCGCCATTCCTATTCAATGTCATTGTAGACAAAGTACTGGAGAACGCACTTACTTTTCTCCAGAACGTAGGTATTGAATGGACAGCTGGTGAAAAGCTGTGCGATTTAGAGTACGCTGATGACAGCGTATGCCTGTTCGAATCTATGGAGGATGCGCAATGCGCTCTTGGCAGACTAGCAAGTTCTGTCTCTCCTTTCGGCATGCGCGTTGCACAATCAAAGTGCAAAGTGATGTTACTAGACTGGGTGTCGTCTGCCCCAGCGCTGATACTTGATGGTCAAGAATCAGCTGTAGTGGAATGTTTTACCTACTTAGGTAGGTGCGTTTTAAATGATGGTAGCATAGTCAACGAAGTACCCGCCCGCATTTCCAAGGCTCGAGCAGCTTACGGAGGAGTAAAACACCTTTGGTGCAGACGCGATGTTTCGTTGAAACTGAAAGGTCGTGTATACTGCGCCAGTGTGCGGCCAGTTCTGCTCTATGGTTGCGAGACCCTAAATTTGCGCGTGGAAGATATTCGTCGGCTTGAAGTATTCGACTGCAAATGTTTACGTTGTTTGGCGTGGGTTAGATGGAGCGAGCTTGTAAGCAACTCTGAGGTGAGGCGTCGCGTATTTGGTAATGATTCGATGGAGAATTCATTGTTCCATCGAATTCAGATTAGTCGGCTTCACTAGTTAGGACACGTATTGCGCATGCCCAGCCATCGTCTGCCGCACCGCGCCTTATTCGCAGTTGCGGCTCCAGATTGGAAGAAGCCGCGTGGAGGTCAACAGATGACTTGGAAGCGAGATATGAAGAAATGCACAGAGCGATTAGGTAGAATCGGTGCCTCCCGTCTTCCAGGTTGGGGTCCGAAAGACTGCAGCTGGCTGGCTGGAGGCATTAGAGGATATGACGAATAATCGACAGCAATGGCGTTGTTGTTGTCATTTCTTAACAAGTCAGAATGCTTGAAAAGGTATGTATGAACACTTAGATTGTGTACTCTGTGTGTTGAACATAGAGGTTCTTTTTCTTTACTTCCCTCCAAATAGGCTCAATCTCTCTCCATCTTGTGCTCTGTCACTTGATTTGTGTACATTGTGAGCTTGGCAGCGATCATTGAAGCTCGCTTCACTGTATCTCTCTGTACAATGATGATGATGATAGAAGACATGGCAAGTCTTAAGAGTTTATTAATGAATGGTATCTCATTGACTGGATTACATTCATTCCGAATATAATTTAGGATGTTCCGGTAACAATTTAAGGTCTTTTAGTACTATTCATGTAAGATATGCTGTCGAGTGAAACGACGAGCCGTTTGGGCAAAAGGTTTGTTCAACGAGCAGAATATGAGGGCCCGGAATTCATTGCTTTTTCGTACGCTTATCTACGTGAAACGAATGTTTGTGAGCAGCACGTAGAGAAAAACGGTGCTACGTTGTAATCAGAACGTGTTACGCTGCTCGGTAATCGGTAACCCACCCATTCGTTTGTAATCCCTTTGTGTAGAAGACTTGCCATCTCACTTCAAAAGATACCATTGCCGTACACTAACAAGACATCTTATTTTTTTATTGGATCACTTTCTGTTGCAAAAAGGTATAGACAGCTATTCCAATGTGGTTGGTGCTTTTCCTGTTTGAAATACCTTTGTGATAGGTAGTTCATTTTACATTGTGATGTTTTCCTCAGGAAATCTTTTTTTTCTGGAGTACTTTTGCTGCTTCAAAGATTATTTGGCTTTCGAATTTCATATTCATTAACACTGTAATAATATAAATAAAATTAAATAGGTTAAACAATGTCTTTTTACCTCTATTTATTTATTAATTAAATATACAAATAACTGCAGTCAGTTTTCATGAGGGGGTCGCGGCTATACAAAGGCTGCCCAGGAATATACAGAAATGGGGAAGAGGGTCGGCGGTGGAGAGATTCGAACCCGAGACTTCCGGGTCACAATTTGGCAACCTAACCACTTGGCCACCATCGCTCCATCACAGGTTATCATTTATCCGGATCATTTAGGCTCGAGTAACTAGTCAGTTATCACGTTGTATCTTCCTCTCAAATATGCCTTTCTGTTTTCCAGGTTGACAATTTGGGTGAAGCAATTAGAGGAATCAAGAAGAAAAATTTGCGTTTCCTGGCTCCGGAACCCAAGATTGGTGCCTGTGGTGTGCCAATTATTTTCATGAATCCCAAAGACGCATCTGGAGTTCTAACGGAATTGGAAGAATCCCACGATGCAGAAGGACACTAAAATAGTCCTCTTCTTCTTCGTCTTCGCCGCCCTTTTCCCAATTGTTATCCATTTCGTGACAGTTCACTTCGCCTCTAAAGTGGCTTATTTTCGAAGAGATAAAAAGGCGGACACTGTTTCGCTGATTATCATTCGTGATGTAGTTTGATGTTTTTTTTACGTTTCTTTGCATTTTGAAAGATAATTTGTATTTTCAAAATAGTACGATATATATAACGTAGAATGAAGTTGATCTTTTGGACGGTTTATTCAGTTAGAAAATCGAAATGATAAGCGTGGAATTCGTTTTCACCACAATGAAACAATACTCTGCTCATGAGGCCTCTATTCTCTATGAGCCTAGATTGTCCATTTCATTATTTTAACCGTTGGTTCACGTGACAACCAAGTCCACTAAGACGAGTGATAAGTGCACTACTGTTTCGTTAAAATCAGATAGTTTACCGGTTCACCATCACTAACATTGCATGCAAAGAACGAACGGAAATTTTATGGTTGTACTAAGATCTGTCTAGTCCAAAGTGAACTTGCTCTGTAGCACCATAGTTATGGCTTCACCAAAAAATCTGGTAGAGTTGCAGCTGAGTAGAAGAGATTGAAAGTCAATTGCTTGATGAGTTCGTTTGTCAAATTCCATTGAAGGAATTTTGGACATTTATTAAACTGCAACGAACTAATAAAATGGTCACTCGCTCACGGAGAATATCAGCGCATTAAGGCGGATATTTAAGAGATATGGAAGTAAGTCCGAAATTTTGAGGCAGTACATCGGGAGGATTACTGGATAACCATGAGACCAACAGAGCGCTATATATATATATATATATATATATATATATATATATATATATATACACGAACCAAAAGTTGAATGCTATGTGAAAGAACAGAAAAATTTCAGGCTTGCAGCGTTAAACGATGGCCTTCTGAGATACCGTATTGTGATCCTATCATGTGATATTACAACTGAGCGATATAATTAGATAACCGCCAATTAGGTCATATAAGCAGGGTTCAGAAGATGAGCATGAAATTCAGACAGGTGATCTTATTTGTAGTCCATAAAAAGAGGGAACAGAATCTCAACGATGTCAGCAATATTTAAACGCAGATTGACTGCCGGTCAGAGATCCGAGATAGGCTAGCATGTTGAATGGAGCACAGACGCATGGATATGGCATACAACAACCAAACACATGCATGTTCTAGGAGTCACTTATTTTCGCAAGCGCAAGTTCGGGGGGAGGGAGGCTTGGGGAGCACGTAAAACAAGAAACGGCTCCATCTACTGAGGAATATGGTAAAATGAAGACTCGATCATTATGCCAAATACACTGTTGGCTATCCGTGAAGTTGTTGTTGATGGGTGAACTCTACCATCTACAAAAATAGTGAACAACTCAGCTCTGTCAATACTGTTAGGTGTATCCGTTTGGTCTAAAAAACAGATTCAAAAGTAGTTACAACGGAGTGAGAAACTACAGCAANAGCAATGGGTAGCGGGAAAGTCGGGATGAACCAATCGCTTCAGGAAGGCCATGTTGAACGGGGGAGATCAGGTTAAAAAGACGTCTTTTAGTGACTTTAAAAGAAGTTAAGGGGCACGCTTTGGGAGACGATTAGATGTCGGATGGAGATGGATCTCTGGTAATTGAAAATTAACCGCTTACCGCAGTATAAGTTGAACAGAGTTGATAAAATGAAGTAAAAGAGGCGGAACGTTCTTTTCATAGAATGAGAGCTATACTATCAGGACCAAAAGACTTGTTGGTATTATGTTCGTTAGATATCTGCATGTCTCTAATACACTAGCCTGATAGGGTCTCACTTCACATAAGGAGAACTGGGGATAACAGAATGAGATACATGGTCTGTGAACTTGGTTATCCGTACAATTCACTAAATTTTAGATGGGTCAATTTGTTTGGTTAGCTTGGCATCCTAACTGGTCACAGATATTATTCTGAGTTATTTATCTGCCCCACGAAAACAATGTTTGCATGTGAATCAGGCTATCTGTTGACTTGGCCGAGACTGTATTGTGCAGATATGTATTTCGAGAAGTCTAAGAACACAGGTATATTATAGACACGCGTACAGTAAGTATTTTACAGTAGGAAGGTGGTTTTCTGATGAAATGAGCCCCATTGCCCATGGGCACTGATTTCTATTGGAAGATAGACTGGAAAGAATCGTTTGTACAATTATAATAATGTAAATTGTCGTTAAAATTGCCCGTTGCTTTTCATGGTAAGGTTTACTGAAGAACCAAATCCCGGGCATTTCTGTGGTAGGTTCTCGAATGTATGGAATGTTTACCAATGGAAGCAAGTACGCAATATTTCTAATACGACCGCCTAGATATTCGGTATATGATATTGAGACAAATGACCATTATTTCGATAATAGTGACATTTTTATAAAAATCAACTCAGAAGCAATAATTTGTGTGTGTATGTCCAAGTTAGCAGTAAAAATTTTGCATTTTTGTTGAAGCTGATAAGGATTATTGATTTACGGTGATTATGCATCCATCAATCATTCAAGAAGATTTCATGCGGGTAAAGAGGGTTGATATTTTGTTGGTGAACACCCCTGAAAAGCTCCGTCTTCTCGCTATAAAACACAAAGACGGTTTATTTCGATGTGACACTGTGATTATATATTTGAACCTTGTTGTGTTGGTCAATTCGAGTTTGGCCTGTTATGGATCGGACATTGCCTGTATACAGTCAGTGTTTAAGGCGAGGATACATGATTAAGTAAATTTAACACAGTGATTGGTTGGTAAACGAAGCCTACAGAGTCCAGTGAATTTACGGGGATCCTTCTTGCGTAAAACCAGGAGAATGCCACGCGATCGAAGTATACATGAGTCGTAACTGGAAAAATGCATGCCTAAAAAGACTCAGGTATTATAATAATCAACCATCATGATTAGACTGCACGTTGACGTGGTGTGATGGCTTGTGTACCTCTGTGACCCAACGAGCTACACAGAATGGCTTTTGTCAAGTCACGAGATCTCATCATGCTTGTAAGGTCAATGGGTAGAGATCAAACGAAGTCCAGTCTCCTGGTCCTCCAGGTTGGATTTTCGACTTGAGTCGGCGTCTAAGTCGGTAAAAAAGTTGTGGTAGAGCAATCGATTAAAGTAAATGGGCCTCTACTTCGATTCACCCGCTGCCTTGGGATTAGGTTTTTGTCAGAACTAAAGGCAGCGGACGAGAACCCTAATCGTTCTCCTGCTTAGTGGCTGGACACCCTGGCAGTGCCCGTCCATCACACCCCAATGCATACACAAACTAAAACTAATTCCATACTGCATCAGTCACTGAATACGGAGCTTGCAACGTGAGGACCCTGATGTAGGTAGGTCGACAAGCTTGCCAGGGGCATACAATGGAATCCTTGAGAATCGATATTTGCTGCGCGTCGGAGACTCTGATCCAGGATCCTACTACTATAAGCCACTTGAGAGCGCCAGATTTGTCCTCGAGTTACATTCTTCGCGTATCAGGCGACGATG